ATAGAAGTCTCTTTAAAGAAATAATTGTTGAAAACTCCCCCAATCTGGGGAAGGGAATATACACTTAGGTCATGGAAGCAGAGACCCCCTAACAGAAGGAACCCCAGCAGGACAACACCAAGACATATAATTAAAATGGCAAAGATCAAGGATAAGGAAAGAGTGTTGAAAGCACCCAGAGAGAGAAAAAAAGATTACTTATGAAGGAAATCCCATCAGGCTATCAGCAGCCTTCTCAAGAAAAACTCTTCAGGCCAGAAGGGAGTGACATAATATATTAAATGTACTGAAACAGGACCTCCAACCAAGAATCGTCTCCCTGGTTGAAATTATCATTTAAATTTGAAGCTGGGATTAAACAATTTCCAGATAAAAGTTGAAATTCACCACCACTAAGCCACTCTTATATGATATGTTGAGGGAATTGCTGTAGATGGAAATGACCGTAAGAATAGCTTTCACTAGTAAAAATAAATACACAGTAAAGGTAGTAGACCAACTAATTGCCAAGCAAGTAGGAAATTAAAACAAAACAAAAGAAAAAATCAACTGTACACAAAATCAGTCAAGGGATACACAAAAAGTACAGATTATGAAATTTGACATGAAAAATATGCAGGAGGAGGAAGGAGGAGGAAAAAAGTACCTTTAGATTGGTTTTGAAATAGAGTAGCCAGCAATTTAAGATAGACTATTATATAGTAAAAAAGGTATCCTTGAAACTCTGGTAACCACAAAACTAAAACCTACAATAATATACGCACATAAAAATAAATTTTAAAAAGAGAGAAATCCAACTACAGCACAAAAGAAAACCACCAATAACAAGAGAAGAACATAAGAGAGGAAGAAACAGAGAAGAGATATAAAAAACAGCAGAAAACAATGAAATGGCAATAAGTACATATCAATAATCACCTTAAATGTAAATGGACTGAATGCACCAATCAAAAGACATAGAGTGACAGAATGGATAAGGAAACAAGACCCATATATATGCTGCCTAGAAGAGACTCATTTCAGACTCAAAGACATAACACAAACTGAAAGTGACAGGATGGAAAAAGATATTACATGCAAATAATAGGGAGTGGATATAATACCTAATTCCATAACTTCTGATAAAAATGCTGTGAATTTAGTGAGGGCCTATGTTCTGACTTAGCTTTAACAACCATGCAGTTTTCCATAATTCACAGAATCCTCAATATTACAAAGCATAACTAATAACATTTTATAAATATATGAACTCAAAATAGGTCTACTTTGAGAAAAAACTGGAGCAGAAAGAATCAACCCATATAAAACAGATGGCCAACACTTTAACAGGGATCAAAAATCTGAACACCGGTTCCTGGAATATAACCATTAATCTCTGTGTTTCCATCACTTATGGTTTCTTTTTTATTTTTTATAACACCAACTTAATTCTCCATGAATAGAGATATACCAATTCCTATCTGTTTTAACTTGGAGAATATGTTAATAGTTTCTTTCTATTGTTCTTAGGTGTATAATACAATGTTCTGTTTTGAAAAAAAAAACAAAGTCCTAAACACAAATAAACAGAAGAAAATGACACACTATAGCACAGGGGCATTTGCTCTTACAGAGTAAAGAAAGCTTAGTTTTAAAAGTCAAATAGACAATGAAACCAAGAGCTAGTTCTTTAACAAAATAAACAAAATAGATAAGCCTCTAGCCAAACTTATTAAGAGAAAAAGAGAATGAACACAAATCAACAGCATCAGAAATGAGAACGGAATAATCACAACAGACTCCACAGAAATACAAAGCATTATTAGAGAATACTATGAAAACCTATATGCTAACAAGCTGGAAAACCTAGAAGAAATGGACAACTTCCTAGAAAAATACAACCTTCCAAGACAGACCAAGGAAGAAACAGAAAATCTAAACAGACCAATTACCAGCAATGAAATTGAAGCAGTAATCAAAAAACTACCCAAGAACAAAACCCCCGGGCCAGATGGATTTACTGAGGAATTTTATCAGACATACAGAGAAGACATAATACCCATTCTCCTTAAAGTGTTCCAAAAAATAGAAGAGGAGGGAATACTCCCAAACTCATTCTATGAAGCCAACATCACCCTAATACCAATATCAGGCAAAGACCCCACCAAAAAAGAAAACTACAGACCAATATCCCTGATGAACATAGATGCAAAAAAATACTCAACAAAATATTAGCAAACCGAATTCAAAAATACATCTAAAGGATCATACACCATGACCAAGTGGGATTCATCCCAGGGATGCAAGGATGGTACAACATTCGAAAATCCATCAACATC